CAGCAGCTGGTGCATGGGCGGCTGTCGCCATGAGCACCCTACCGTACCTACCGTACAGTACTACAGGTGGAGCAGAGCTGGTGCTCCAGCAGCTGATGTATACCGCTTGCCACCGCTAGCTTTGATGTAAGCACCTTTATTAGTACTACTATGTACTGCCTGAGGGTGCCGGTCCTCGACAATGTTGGCGCGCCGTGTCCGCTGAACCTGGTGGCAGTGCATGGGCTAAACCTGTGTTGGCATAGTTACATCCGGTAGATAGCAGAAATGTATCCTCAAGCGATGGCAAGGGGCCTTATCTCGGCGGTGCAGAACAACTTTAAAGTTGGTAGATGGACCATCAGCAGTATTGAGCGATGGTCGGCGGCTGGCCTCTCAAAGTGCCATGAGCCTGTGCCCGTGGCCTTGCACAATATTGGTTTACGAGCCAGGGAGGCGCGCAAAACTGAGGCATCCGACCAACTAGAGTGGTCTGCAAGTGCACAGAACACTAGAGCATCTCTCAGGCCGCTAGCTGCGGCAACAACCACTATCAATGTGGCACTATCAACGCCCTCAGATTGACAGCAGTCCTCCACTGCCCCCACCTCCAAAAAGCCTACTCCCAACAATCGCCGGTCTCAGGGTCAAGCATCCCCCATCTCAGACTGGGTTCGGCATGACGAGGCGGCGGTGTGGATGCCGCTCCCAATTGATGACCCCCTCAAGCCACGGAAATTGGCAGTCCTGCAGCGGGCTCACGGCTTTGACCCGAAAGCTGAGGGCACTATTTTAGCAGACCCAGACGTTGGTGTTCTTTTTATGCTGAAGCTGTCCGAACCTGACAAAGCCGGCCGAGCCCAGAAGTTGCTCCAGCGGATGCAGTTCTTTGAAGGAATCATCAACATGACGTCAGCAGAGTTGGACATGATAGAGGGCAAAGGGCGCGGCAAGCGGCTCCGACGGTCCCAGGCCCCGCGTGGGCTCTCGGAGCTTAGGGACATTGACGCGCTCCTCACGATTGTATTTCGGCTCAACGACATGTCTGGAACGTGTCGGGAGCAAGCAGCACGGCTGGCGGAGCTGTTGCGAGGTGGGGAAACCTCCGGAGATGTGGTGCCAAAAACCGACGGTTCAAAAGCGGAGTTTTTGGAGTCCAAGAAAGAAGTGGTTGCTGGGTCCTTGAGTGGCGTTGACCGTCAGCGAAAGAGGAAGAGGAGCACCCCGGTACCTGCAAGATCGACTGAGGGCTTGGAGCTCGTCTCCTTAGACGACAGCATCGTGTTTGAGGGAGAGAAGGTGCCGAGGCGGCGAGTCCGGATGGCATACGACGTGTTGAGGGGTGAAGCACGGGTGCTGGAATCAGCGGTGGACTCTCTAGAGACCGGGTCAGCAAGCGGTAGCATCGATCGTCTTCTCAAAGGCGTACGAGGTTTGGCTTCAAAGGCGTGACAAGCGGTGCCTTTCATGGCCATTCAAGGGGCTGTAGTGCGTGCGCCCAGTCGTATATATCGGAGGCAATCCATTGTCCGTTGCTTTGTGCTATTCAGGCGTTGCTAATTTTCCTTGTTGTTTGTCGATACCCAAGGTTTGATACTTCAACTTTCGGCTCCCGCAGCTCATGGCTAGCAAGGTCTGTACAGCTCGGATGTTGGTTGACGCCTTTGAATTGGGGCCAGCACCTAGATACTGAGCGTTGCATGATTAATGGCTTTTCTCTCAAACGACCACCATCATTAGCCGGCACGCAAAGTATTGTACTTGCTCGGACTGTACGTGAGAGTTGTGTACGTTTAATGTAACTTGACGGCGTATAGTCCCACTGTGTTGTATATAGGCCTTGAGATCATATTCGCCTTAAATTTCTGTATTTGGCATGCAGTTGCTCGCGGGCCGTGCAGGATACGTGTCGCCTAACTCTCACGTCTGTCTTCACGTAACCTGTCCAGCTTGATCCAATGTTTTGAGACTTCAACTGGCCGGTTCAATCATGCAATCCCTCCTAGTAAGTTCTACACAATTGTCCATGAAATCAAGAGATATCCAGAACGGTGTCAGTGGCGCCAGCTGCATGGCCGTCCTAGGCATATGCCGCACATATATATGGCTTCGAACTTGAGAGGCTGCAACCAAATAGATTTGGTTTTGCACATACATGCATGCAACTTGTTGCTGGCTTCTAGCGTCAGCCTATATAGGGCAGTCTAACATTGAAAGCAACTTTTTATGCAGCATGGTTCAACGATTGTGCACACGTATGCTCAGCCCACACGTTCACGTGCAGTAAACTCCGACTAGTCCCTAGGCGGTCTTGCTTGTGTAAAGAGCTGTAATGCGCAGGAAGGTCGATCCATGGCATGGCGGAAACATCTGGCGATGTCACTACCATGAGCTTTGTCGAGCTAGGTACCATATTCTACTTTTGCCTTGTGCGTACGGGGACCCGGGAGATGATGGAAAGACGCACCCACTCAGTGACTCGCAGACAGACTGGGACTTATAAAGGCGGCAGAATTAAGTGCCTGCGCGTGGTACGGATTGACCAAAGGCAGAGTGCTCTTGCAGTCAGGCGGCGAATGCTCGTATAATACAGCGACGTTAGGCTAGACTCGAACCAACACCTATCCAACCTTCCTGCTCAGATTCTTATACCCGCTGCCCACACAAGACAGAATGACAGTCCCAGTAGCCGAATCGGGTTTTATACTAAACTGAACTCCAAAGAAGTCTTTTATACACCGGAGCATCCTTATTGCATTCGGTGATAGCCGGCCAACCCGCACTTTCGAGACGTCCTCCGGGCACAGGGCGCAGAGCATGAACAAGAAACCCTGCGACGGAACGATGAAAACCGGTAAATACTCGGAAGTCGACATAGACAGGAGATGCCTCAAGAGACCGAAAGTAAGTGGTACCTTGAAAAGCTCGACAGAACCGGGGAGTATGTCCACGACAGAAGGGTCACGAGAACGTTTACTTCTCGTTTAGCTGGTTGAGAATTCAACGGAGTCTAGGCACCAGATACAGATCTAGATCGGAAAAAACCATTCTCAAAAACGGCGGCTTCAGGCAAGTACGAGATGAGAGTTTCAGCGCAGTCTGCCTCAGACAACAATCAAATTCTCCATTCCGCAAGATGCAGCAATCGAATTTAAAAGGGAGTCGGACCAGCAAAGCAGTCTGAACAATCGACAACACTTTCTGAAGTCAGCAAGAACCACAAACTGTACTTTGAACATCCTTAAGTGCTCCTGTAACCTGTAAGGACAAGCACAGACCCAAAGCCAGCAACCACAAACCAGCCATGCGTTGACCTCCCACTTTGGCAGCACCATCTTGATCTTACCTGATGCGTCGAGTCCACTACCCCCCCTTGCCGAATCTCGTCGAGTAGTTGGTGGGCCGCGCGCGCACCAATGTCTTCCGGCAAAAGAGCCTCGGGAGCGGGGCCCGCCTCTCGATCCCGCTCGTCTGCGGCGGATGAGACCTCTGCGGTGGCTTCCGTGCTGATGAGGCATCCGCTCGTACTTTCGGCAACCAGGGCCAGACCGTAACCGGGGGACCTGCATAACATACTACTTTAGTACCTACGGTTCGCCTATTTCTGTTAGGAACAGGCAATTTGATCTTCAAGCAGAAACACCTTACCCGAACACAAGTCGGAGATTCCAGACTGATCGAGCAAAGACCGCTGAGCCTGTGATTGAAACCCGCCATAGCAGCTCTCAAAACGCTTCAGCTTTTGAGACCGAAAGGGTGGGGCTGAACGAACTCACTTTCCGGACTCCGCTCCTGTGTAATGGTCCGTGAAGATGTAGACGTCTGGCAGGAGACGGTTGAGCACCCCCCGAGCTGAGTCCACCATGCGGTTCGCCATCTGGGGGGATACCCGGGCAGAGTAGGCTACCCCCCGTATCCGCTTCACCATGCCCTCGTCCGTCCAGTTCACCGCCTGCAAAGAGTAGTGTGGAAAGTGTCTAAGGGTGTTCTCGGGGTGGCGGATGAACGGAGGTACTGTGTCCTGCTGCCCTGCATCGAAGTCGCTCAAAAAAAGACCGAGGTGGCTCGCTGCTGACTCTGGGAAGGGATGGAGGGGATGCTTCGCCAACAATTCGGGGGGATTGTGTCGACTGAAGCCTTTGAACAGACGGAGAATTGTCATGAACCAAACGGGTGATGTCAATCACAAAAGGGCAAATCTTTTACTTAATGAGAGTTACATGCCGGCATAGAGAGGAAATGTCAGTAAGTGGACTGATCGGTGGGACCCCTGGCTTCTTAACCAGTTGTGAGGCCCCTCAGAAATGGAGACGGTGTCTTTTCAAGCTGCGTGGTCAAGACCATTAAGTGAAGCTGCAAACGAGCAGCGTATGAAGCCTCCCCCCTCATCTCCTACCACCAGTCCCTCTTCAGAATCAAAATGCAAAACCCTCTCCGCGTTCAAGTCTTATAAAACGAAGCATCCAAGGGGAGGACGGAACATGATGCACTGCCCTCTCACCTGCAGCGACGCTCCGACCACCGGGACCTTTAGCATCACCTCCCCACCTCCAAGTGGCGGCGCCCCCCGCTTCACTATTCTGAGCTCCAGGCCGTCCGTTGACACCTATACAAGAAGGCGGTCGTGCACACTGTCAATCAGAAAGAAGCAAACATCTATGGATGGTGCAGTAGGGTCATCATCCAACTGTTCCAGCTTGAGATGGGAGCGCATAACTTGCTCTACTCGCGAAAGTTGCCCCGAATTGAAGACACCAAAAAAAATGCCATCGAAGCGCAATTCCACGCCGCTGGGCGCCTTGCTCTCTGGCACCAGTGTGTTGCCTAGGCACTCAGGCAAGATCCTATTGAGAAGATGTAAAAAATGGCTCAAGAACTAAGCGCATAGGGACATACTGCCTTTGTTATTCAACCACCATCAGCCCATATTTCGGATCTTACGGATGGTGGCTCCTGAAAATTGACCGTTCCACTTCCCAGATAGCAAACTTCCCACCCATCAGCACTAGAAAACCGGAGGCGGCGACCGGGCATGAAACTAAGACCAACCTCATCCCTGCATGCTTCCCCATAGAGCCGCAGGGGTGGCAGGGCGTCAAATATGAAGCTCCTGCTAAACCTGGCCAGGGCATGCTCGTTCAACATCAACACAACCCCAAGGGATCCCCTCAGTGCTCACCCCGAATTGCCGCAGGAGCGGCAGGGTGGTCGTGCGGAACGTGTCTACCCCAGGGTCTTGCAGCCCATTCGTGACGCCCCGCAGCACAATCTGCAGGTTCTTCTTGGCGAAAAGTGCCAATAGAATCAGCGGCTCCAGGAAGTACCCGATGCCCCGGCTCGTCCCACAGTCATGCACGAGGCCCCCACCGCAGACGATCACGCCTGGTTTATATCTTAACCGCGTACCTGACAGAAACCGGAGGGGATTGACAGGGCTCGAGAAGGTAGCCAAGCTTTATTTTAGCATGACGGATTGTTGTCATCATTTGTTGTAATCTTGTCATCAGAGATGGTGGCACATCTGTGCAAACAGTTTGAAGATTGAACTCTGACTAAATTATGTTTATTAGAAGGAGATGCGTTTTAGGGTTAGGGTTTGAACGAAGAAAAGAAAGGCAAAAATGGTGGTACAACGTTTTGACTTGTCCAGGGACGCCTGTAGACTCCCTACTCCAATAACCACAAAGTCTGGCGCGTCACCATTACCAGGAAGACTTACTTCCCACCACCATGCTTTGCAGGATTCTAGCGCCATCTACATTTTAGATGCCATTGTTCAAAAAGAAAGCAATGCAAACAAGAATCCTGGAAAGTGACCTAAGCAAACCACAACGACTGATTCTGGCCCATTTTCACAATGATAGAAGTGGTGGTAAGAAATTCTGAAGGAGTTTCGGAGACGCCTCTCTGCAAAAGACCCACCTGTTTCATTGATCTCCACGACGCAGCCGTTTGTGACTTTCTCCAATAGCCGGAGCAGATTTGCCTCAAAGTCTCTCAGCCCAGGGTTGGAGTCGCTGGCTCGGATCTCGTCAATGCGGAAAGGCGTCCCTGCCAAGGTTGCGCAAACAAGGCGCTGTCGAAAAGACTGAGCCCCTCTCATACGAAGCGCCATGACGAGATCGCCTGGTTTCCGGCTGACTCAATTGCTGCAACTCGCCAGCCAGATTGCTTCTTGCTGGACACTGGCTCAAAAAGGTAATGCTGAGAACCTCAAAATTTCTCTCCTCAACCTGTCACGGTTTGCGCTTTGGAGCATTGCCAGCTCCTGAAAGCAATTTCCGAAGCCTTCGTTTTCCAAAACTCTAGGTTTCCTGTGACCCGCAGACAACTCATTTCTGCCAACGCTTAGCTGACGTCATTGCTCTCCCAAACTCGCAAGAGCGGGCTTCATCACCTCTCATGATGACGTCAACTTCTTCGCGGTCAGCTGCTGACCGGCAAAAGTTCGTCAGATGGTTCAAAGTGCGTCATGCTTGCAAGCATGCAAGCCGTGACTCTTCGGACTTCAGAGACGACAAGAACTTGAAGTTGAAGAAGGCAGCCTTGGTTTCTGATTGGGCGAAGGCCCAGGGCCAGGGCCTGCATTAATTTCTTGAAGCGTGCATTCATTCACGCCCTAGCTCCGTCTTCTGCCAATTTTGGGCCATTCTTTGGGTGAAGGCGAAGAGAATTCACGGAGGAGGCAATAGGGTAGATGCTACCTAAATCATTTAGTGGTGGCAAAGCGCACTGCGCCTGAAGGAAGACTCGTCAGCGCTCTTGTGGATCACTCATGCGTTATGGCGTGTCAAGCTGGGGAGCATGCATTCATCTGTGGAGGCTACATGTGATCTTGAAAGCAAGACCTGCTTCCGTTGCCTGATTGAGGTGTTAGAGCTATAATACTGAGCTTCTGCTCAAAAGATCGAAGTTGACAGAAGGAGAGGCCTAACCTGCCATCAATGTAAAACCATTCTGCATCAGAATAGCTGGGGCGCTCCAAATTCTTTTTCAATTCTGGCTTTCTGAATGCGAGCCTTCTCACGGCCGGGAAGATGACCGAGCGCTGCCACTTCAGCAGTACCCCCGGTTTCCAGCGATGGTTATTGTGATGACGGATGCGGCCTCGCTGCTCAGTGCGTCTGTGCTGAGGAATTTGGCCGACAAGCTCTACGAGAAGAGGAAGAATGCAGCGCTTGAGGCAAGTCGTTTATTGATGCTTTTCAAGCCCCTTGTTGTTGTGACAAGAAACTGAAAGGCTTGACTGGAAAGCTTGAAAGAGTATTACAAGTAGCAAGCTGCAACAAGCTCTATGTGAACTTACCTGAGACCAAACCTGCACTACGGTTCAGGAAGAGGCAATGCTGCCAGCAGTTTTGAGCCCCGCCAACTCTGGAACAACCGTTTGCTGCTGTCCCTGAAAAGCCCTCAAGAATAGCTCATGACCAGTGGCACCTTTTCTGCATCTATTCAATTTAATGGATGTGAGGCTGAAGCCATGTCGCCCCACAGATTCATCCTTAACAGTTTTAGCTGAATTAACGGTGGGGAAGTGCCTCTTTCTGGATTCCAAAGACCGGTTCGCTCGAGTGCCTTATTCTATGCTGAGCCAGAGAGACTCTTACGTGTAAGGTTCTGCCAAGGCAAATGCAAGAAGTCTGAGTTAGTGCAGGCCTTCCTTGCTGCCAATTCTGGTCTAACTCATGGACATTGTCGGTGGGACTCCCAGATTGTTAGAAATTGAGGACCTTTCGAATCAAGTCAGTGAAACTGTCTCAGAATATGCATGGTTACTTTGTTGTTGGTTCTTGGGATCCCTTTTGGTTCAGTCAAACCACCTGTAACGCGCGTGGAGGTGTCACAGATCAACATATCTGAATCCCTCGATTGCCCTGGTATCAATTGCTCTATGCTCAGGAGGAGGGGCCAAGTCTTGCCAAATCAGGAGTTGATAGTCTCTGGTACGAATAGGCCGATTTTGCGGGTGCGCCAATCGTGCGCTGGACTCAAAACAGCGACCTTTTCAGTAGCAAATAAGAGTGTCAATTCAAGCGCATGTGATCTCAGGTGGAGGGGGTGGTCAAGAGCCTTGCGGCCCAGGGGGAGACGGAGAAGGTGTCCGCCCTCATCAATGTGCTCATCAACGACTTTGCAATGTCGCCGCAGGCCAACCACCGCAAGGTATGGGCAACAAGCTTATGGGCAACACCCTAATGGTTTACTACTTCTAGATTGGCGAGAGAGGCGGGGTCCTTGACGCTATTGTAGCCACTCCAATGCCGTTTTTCTTTTCCGCTAAACAACACCTAGCATACTAGATCTTGGTTATGCATGACAAGAAAGTGTTAGTAGGTGATTGTGATCATCAGTGTGTGGGAAGACAGGGACACACTGATCACCACAGTAACATTCTGGTACAACCAGCGTGCTTAGCCCGCCCCTTGCTCGATTAAAAAGTCGTCTCCGGGTGCTTTGATCAATCAAGAGGGCACCATGCATTGTTGAAGAATACCTACTCCGGCAAGGGATTGATTAGACTGACCGGAAGGTTCGGCACCGCAGGGAGGTCTCATTGGCTTGGCAGCAGCGACGGTAGGACTGGCGGGGGAGGCGTCGCAGTATCTTGCGGTGAGGATCTCCGTATCCAAGTCTTTTGAGATAATCGTCTCGGCCATAAGGAACTCCTTGACAACGAGATAAGGAGACTAAGAACCTCTCAAGAGAGCCCTTTAGCTCGCTTCTCTTTGGTCCTATGCGTCGGTTGCCTCCTGCTCCTAGTGAATAATGGCTTACTCATGTTCTTATCCATATCGAAAAGCAGATGGTTTCGGGCTGAGGGCCCTTCCAACATATAGACGCTGCCATGGCCATCATGTCGATCGTTCTTCTCAGCATTGCTGTCAAACCGCACTTGGCTAAAATCTTGCGTAAGCATTTTGATGCGATGCATCGGGTAACTTTTGCAATCGGCTACCACGGGTCCCCTGGTCGATTTTTCAACCCCACAGAGGATTGCCGGAAAACTCTCCAATATACGGCTCATTTACCAATCAAGGGTGTGTATCTCAAGTCCTTTTTTGGTCCCCCCGCAGCGCATCGTCCCCCCAGTTCTTCACTCGTTCACGGACCAGGACAGCCGCGTGCGCTACTATGCATGCGAGGCGCTGTACAACATCGCCAAGGTGTCGCGCGGCGACTTCATCGTCTTCTTCAACGATGTCTTTGACGCGCTCTGCAAGCTGTCCGCCGACTCGGATCCCAACGTCCAGAATGCGGCGCACCTGCTGGACCGACTCGTCAAGGTGCGCGGACTGAAAGCAAAAAAAGTACAGTCTCGTCTTCAATGTTACGATCGTCTGCAGTTCCACTTCGAGAAGGAATTACAAAGTATGGGGGATCAAAACGCCTTCTATTAAGGTGTGCGGTTGTTGGGATCACGAAATACATGGCGAGGACCGGGGAGCCACAAGGAGTCATGGAGACTTTAGAGTGTTCGGATGATGCCGACTCCCTTGTTCGCACCTTCAAGCGCGGGCGGACTTTCGTACTTCGGCATGTACCGTCACACTTCGACATTTGCAGCACGACCGGAGCAACCTTCAAACGCTTTTTCCTTTAGTTGGGTCGTGTCTTTCATTCCGAGCGAAAATAAAGTGCCACTGAATTTGATTGTCTTCATAACCCGACAAAGCCGAAGGACTCCGGCTGTCAATCAAAAGCCCTCAGCCTGCGTCCTGAAACTCCAAAGACGCCTGATAAGGCTGTTCAAGTCAGCCACGGCTCAAGCGATTGAGTTTCATTAAAGAAGAATTGATTAAAATCGATCAAAGCAATCCGCTCAAAGTTTGAGCAGCCCTTGCTTTCTAAGACACGAACCCCTTTCTCAGGACATCGTGACGGAGGGCGACCAGTTCAGCATTGAGGAGTTCATCCCGCTGCTGCGCGAGCGCATGAACGTGCTGAACCCGTTTGTGCGCCAGTTCCTGGTCGGCTGGATCACCGTCCTCGACAGCGTGCCCGACATCGACATGCTCGGCTTCCTCCCCGACTTCCTCGACGGTAAGCACCCGCCGCCTAAAGCACAAGTTCTTTGGTGAGGTCTTCGCTAGATTTTGGAGGGCCAACCTGGAAACCGAGCTTATTGCGCTTGGAAAGCACTTGTCAGTGGAAACGGCGGCCTTGATTGGCAGCACTGACCGTTTAATTCCTAAGAAGTGGTCACAAAAAGGTAGTCGCAAGCGCCCGAAAACGGAGGGATTGGCGGACTCGTTTCTGTGTTCACCATATGCCTTTGAAACTACGTTTCTCTGACTTTCGCCGACCAGTTGGACAGTCTTCAGGCGGTTCCCCCTTGTATCTCACCGAACGATGCAACGGGACCCCTCGCGGGCCGCCTTTTCAGTTGATTCGACGTTGAGGCTTGTTGACTCTCATGTAGGTTCGAAACATCTTTTTCTTCTTGCTTCGCTAACAGATAGGACAGAAACCAGCAAGCGGGGAATTCGGTGTCCTCTATGTGGCGATGCCAAGTTGAGCACTTCTTGTATCCCCCAGGCCTGTTCAACATGCTGAGCGACAGCAACCACGAGATCCGGCAGCAGGCGGACACGGCGCTGAACGAGTTCCTGCAGGAGATCCGCAACGCGCCGTCTGTGGACTATCGCCGCATGACCGAAATCCTGGTGCAGCGCGCCTCCGCGCCCGACGAGTTCATGCGACTGACCGCGGTCACCTGGGTAAGGCAGAGAATCTCAAGGTTTGGCGGGATGGCGAGAGATTCAGGGGTTTTCAGGTTAGGCCACTGCACAGTGCGTCTTTTGGGAAAAGGCGAACTTCGATGTTGAAGCCCGTGTCTGTCGGAAAGTTGGGGGTGGGAAATTTTCTTCTGCTGGCGTAGGGCTTTTCGTCGACAGCGGTCTTCAGAGACTGGTTGGTTGCTTATGATCGGCTCAGTCAGGGATCGTTCAGGGGCCCTGAGATAAGAGCAGCACTTGGTCATCTGTACGACGCCAAGCTAAGGTCCTCTTGACGTGACTTCACTTTTGGATTCCCTTCACTTTTGCACGTGACCTAACAAGCTCCCACTGCAGCGATAGAAAACCTCGTGGGTAGTTTTGATTTTATGTCTCCCTCGCTTTAAAGTGGCATTCCAAAACACCTCGGATTGGTCCTTTCTCGACGAGTTTCCCTAAGCATCTCGTTCAAGTTCTCTGTTTGTCTACCAAAAGAAGGTCACAGTCCGGTTCACGAATGAGTCTGCGTATCAAACGAATGAAACGACCTCGTTGCCTTGCTTTCCAGGTCCAGGAGTTGTTCACATTCGAATCTTCTTTCCAAGACCACTCAGTGACCTTGTTGTGTTGTCCGTGCCAGATTCACGAGTTCGTGAAGCTGGGCCAAGACTACTTGGTGCCGTACTATGCGGACATCCTGGGCGCCCTCCTGCCGTGCATTGCGGACAAGGAGGAAAAGATCCGAGCGGTAAGCGGAGATTCTGTTGCAAATCTGCCTCTCCAGCACGGATACTTCATTACAAAATTGCGAGCCACAAGTGGTTCAAATAGGATGATTTGGATGCCTCCGGAAAGGGGAGAGTCTTTGGATACGACAGGGTCGGTCGACGCTAAAACTTGCGCATGTAGTGCAGGCGGGATTCTTTTAGGTGGACTCCTTCTGAGTCCACCGTGCTACTTGTGTTCCAATGAAAGTGCTCGCAAATACTTGCAGGTGGGAAAGGAAACAAACGACGAGCTCCGGGAAGCAAAGCGCGAGGGGCTGGATATCGAGAAGGTGCTGGCGGTGGCGCGGAGAGAGATGGCCAACGAGAACGAGGCCACCAGGCTCGAGGCGCTCCGTTGGATCGCGGCACTGCTGGAACGGCACCGGACGCAGGTGAGGAACATTTGCAAGTCTTTTTTGAATCTTTTGAATCTCAGATTGTGCTTTCGTTTTTTTTTGCGACAATACGCTTGGAAAGTTTCAGCTCTCAGCCCCCAGATCCGAAGTTTGGTGCAAGGCCCATTTACTCCATTAGCCCCGGCACACTTTGTGCGGGTGCTGTCGATATTAAGCCACGGCGTGTCTCCTTGGACCATGAGCGCAGAAGGAAATTGAAGTTGAGCGCAGAAGAGAATCAGAGTTGTTACGACAAAGATGCACCATGTAAGATGATGGGCAAGGCCACGCAGTCTCGCAACCCACGTGCTTTACTTTGGAAGCCCTTATACCGAAATCCGCCAACTCCTACAGGTGCTGTCGTTCTGAGCAAAGCGTGCCTCCTTAACCCGTGAGCGCAGAAAAGAATTGGGATTGAGCGCAGAAGATTATTCACGTTGTGCCGACAAAGAAGCACCATGTAAGATGATTTGCAAGGCCATGCAGGCTCATAACCCACGTGCTTTAGTGGCGAAGCCTATATACTGGGGAGTATCCAATTCTCACAGGTGCTGTCATTTCTGGACGACCTGTTCCCCGCGCTGTTGGGCGCGCTTTCGGACAGTTCGGACGCGGTGGTCCTGCTGGTACTGGAGGTGCAGGCGGCGATCGCCAAGGAGACGCTCCACTTCCGGCACCTCATGGTCTTCCTGCTTCACCGCTTCTCCAAAGACAGGGCCCTCCTTGAAAAGTGAGCGCTGAGGCTGGGGCGTCTGAAAACATCCGGCTGTGCTGTTTTGGCCGCGAGCTGTTCGACGCTTGCTGCAGAAAGGCAGCTGTTGGCCGTTTGCTTTTGCGTTCTGCCTACTCCATGCGCAGCCGCTTTTCTGACCTATCGCAACGTTTGTTAAAGCCTTGCGATGCCCAAGGCAAGTGGGTCACGTTGTGATTTCCAGGTGCTCCCACTCATCTTGCACACGTGAGCCTGCAGTCAGAACGGACGCATCGCTGCCTGCTTTCCGGTCATCTCCTTTCCACTGACCTGAGTATCTCACCTCACTTCTTCTTGATCACGGCTGGAGGTAGTCGAATGTTTGCGAACATGTTTCGTAACATTTCGTTCCTCATTTTGGGGCAGGCGGGGGAGCCTCGTGTTGCGACGACTCTGCGTCTTGCTGGATGCGGAGCGCGTCTACCGAGAACTGGGGTCCATCCTCGAAGGGGAGGCGGACCTCGAGTTCGCGAGCCTCATGATCCAGGTGGGTGTCGTGAAGCATTTCTGCTGGTTGACCATTGAAATATACTGTCGCGACCATTCAAACGAGCGCTCTCCATCCTTTCGCGTGCTTCTGGTAGACGAACCCGAGTTTACCGAATTCAATCCCGCTGCCCCGCTGCCTGAACGCTGTAACCGTATCGACTCAACTGACTACTCAATCAGGCCCCAATCTACCCTTCGAACAACCCGTGCAGCCCTCAAATATTTCCTCCCTCCCTTTCCCTCTCCCCAAGGCCGAATTCCTTATATTGTAACCTCCCTCCCTATTTCCCCCTCCTCAGGCCCTTAACCTGATCCTGCTGACCGCCTCCGAGCTGGCCGGCCTGCGCGAGCTGCTGCGCGCGTCGCTGTGCAGCCCCGAGGGGCAGGCCCTGTTCCTCTCGCTCTACTCCTCGTGGTGCCACGCCCCCGTGGCCACCGTCAGCCTGTGCCTGCTCGCGCAGGCGTACGGCCACGCGAGCGCGCTCATCACGTGCCTCAAGGAAACGGACATCAACGTGCGGCTATTGGTCCAGGTCGACAAGCTGGTACACCTCCTCGAGACGCCCGTCTTCGCGTACCTGCGCCTGCAGGTGGGTACCATAGTCTCGATCGGCTTGGCCTTTTGAGAATCTTGGTCGTATTCTGGGGTTATAAATAAAGTGCCTGGGTTTCGGGATGAGAGAGTTCGTGGTCGTTGTCTTTCTCTGCCGGGATTTTTGGCCCTGGTCGCAAGCGGAGAACGGAACGGCGTGAAGTCTTAAGAACGGTCCGAGTACCTGGACTTCCTGGCCTTGAATTGCGCGATGGATCAGTCAGTCGTAGACGGAGAAAATTCAGTCGTAGACGGAGAAAATTACGTCACCTGTTGTTCCACAACTACGCTCATGTACTAACATTCAGGAGTGGCGCGTTTTCTCCTCTGCTTTCGATTGCTTCAGTTCGAGCGCCGATGCCGAGTCCAGAGCACTTCTTACAATTGGATTGTATTGACTCCCGTAGAAGCGATAATATCTCGTGGGAGCCATGCTTGACCCATTCTCGGCAATAACATCAGCACTTGCTCGTATTAAGCTACTGGATGTCTTCCCCATCCAGTTCCTCGTCTACGCCTCTCAAGATCCCGCGCCAACGTGTCCCTTGCAGCTTCTGGAGCCGGGGCGGTACCCTGCTCTGCTCAAAGCGCTGTACGGCCTCCTCATGCTGCTCCCCCAGCAGAGCGGCGCCTTCATGATCCTGCGCACGCGCCTCAAAAGCGTGCCCACGCATGCGCTCATGCACATGTCCTCCCACCCCCCCGAAACGGAATACTCCAACCGCGGCAAGTCCGGGGGATCCCCCGTCTCCACAGCAGTGGCGTCCGTCCTCCGGCGAGCGGCGTCGATGAAGGACGACCGGCGGCAGGGCTTGGGGGGTTTGGGCCCGCCGCTGGAAGAGGGGGCGTCGCAGGCGGAGGGAGAAAGCGGGAGGCCCCCCCTCCCGGCGATCGACTTCGCTGGCAAGCTGCAGCAGTTTGAGCTGATGCAGCGGCAACACCAGCTGATGCGGGCGGCCGAGCGGCAGAAACAACAGCAGGGGATGAACGGGCTACCAGCAGAAACGTCACCGCAGGTGGGTTGCTCGGTACCCTTTCTCGGTGTGTGAGAAATCGGTTTCGAGCGGTTGGACTTCCTCCTTTGTCGCCTTCCTGACGTTGAATGCCAGAACGCCGGGAGCTGCTGGCAGTGGTGTTTTCGGGCTTGTAAATGTTTTCAGCATTCTTTTTCTTCCCTTGCCTAGAAGTTGTCCTGAGTACAGATCACGTGCTGACCCTGCGAATGCAGACTTGGTTAAAGCGGGGGACGGCTTCTTACGACGAACATGAAGCCTTATCTGTGTCGTCGCCACAGCTGCCTCTAATCCCCTTGGGCAAAGGCTCGATCGGATCAGACGTTCTAACAATTTTTCTATCGAATGAATCAGTTATGCTTGCGATCGTCCGATCCTATTTAAGCCGCCGGAGAGACAAGTGTGATGCACAGTTGTCGAAAAACGTGATCGAAGTCAAAGACTCCGCAATTTTGGCACTGCAGGAGACAATAGCCCGGGACATGGTTGGGGAAGCGAGCAACCGCAGCCGGGGCAGCTTTCCAGAAGATGGGGTATCTCAGGTCGGGCCGAGGCCCAGTTGGCGAAGCTGACGTCTGGGGGGCTTCTCTCTCAAAGCACGGGGCGTGTATTATGATGTAACGTTGATCGAGCAATTCGGAGGAGGGGAATCCACATTAGGTAGAAAGAGTAGTTTTTTCCGAAGCGGAGACGGGGCTTACATTCTTGCGCACACGTGCTAATCCGGAGCTAGCATAGGGGCGCCACAAATTGGGTTTTCGGGCCACTGCTTCTGAGGCCAAAAATTTTTAGCTAAAGAAAATAAGTAGATAGCGAAGCGGTATGTCTATATGGTAGAGTGGATACCAGAAAGAGGATGATTAACGCCTGAGGAACAAATGAATGTACGTATATTCAAATACCAGTCAACATATATTCAGATTGGGCATAGTGAAAACGCGTGTTGTTGCCTAGTATGACGTGATTGGGCATCGTGATGACGTGTTTTTGTCTAATAGTATGATCGGATCGTAGCCAATCCGTTCTGAGGTACTGTTTTGATAATCGCGCGCCGCCAGGCATGCTATAATTAAGGATAACCTTTTCAAAACAGGCTGTGGCCAGCACGTCGGTGAAATTTGCTGACTGACTTTTTAAGTATAATCAACACCTACTTGGCTGAGCCTAGAGCACTGACATCTGCCAACATGATAGACTATGACAGCATGCCTCAACGGAGCAATTCTATGCTATAGTAGGCCGGATTCAATATACATCCAGAAACTTGGCGGCAGCTTTTGTGGCATCAACAACGGAGCATCGCACAGAAGTCACAAGCAAATAGCAGCAGAATTGAGATGAAACGGGTATGAAAAAGTCCACATTCTACATCATTGTGCTCAGCCTATTGTCCACAATATGCTTATAGTAGTATTCCCGAAAAAAAGATTTAGAATTTAGCTTCTTTGCAGCAACTTTTTGTTCTACGAATAACTCGAAGAAGGCCAAAGGCACCGAGCATCGACATATTTGTCATCCCAGTCAGTAGCGATGTGCCAAAACCTTACTCTTACTTGTAAGCGCGGAGGAACGTCCCCCAAAAGCTCCAATACTGCAGTCTTAGTGAGTTCAGGGTTCCCACCGTGTCGAACATCTACATACAGCGAGCTGAGAGAACCATTCAATGCAAGCTCCACCACCTTTCTCAAAGCCCTGACAAAGTCTTCGTCGGCTTCGTCTTTGAGCTGCTTGTCCAGAAAGCAAAGTTTCAGCCGGCGCAAGCTCTTCAGGTTGGCCAAAGCCTCTAAGGTAGCTGCCTCATCTACCGCCCCAATCTCCAAGCTCTGGAGATTAGGGTAACAGCTGAAGAGTCCGGACTGCCCCCTGAACCTCTTGTAGACGTAGGCATCCCCGCAGAAAACCTCCTTCATCGATAACAATTGTACGATAGTGGGAGCGTCTTTGAGTGCACTACCAACACTCCAACGGGGGTAATCGAGCCGAAGTGTCTCCAACCCAGGCTGATGCAAGAGTTGGAGAACAATATCCATGTCGTAGATATGCTCACACCCCTCTATGGACAGTTTGCGCAACCGACTCGACTCCCTCCTTAGCGGCTCTGAACACACTGCCCCCAACTCAGTCACGGACAGCTCCTCGAGCTCTTCAGACCAGGAAAGGCTGCTTAGCCCCGCGTAGATTGACAGCCGTTTCAAACTAGGAAACACAGACCTAAACAACTCGAGGGTCGGCCTATAGGTGTTCCAGGAAGCGGAGGCGTCATCATCTTCGACTTGGTCTTCGCCATCAGAGCCCTCTTCTTCATCCACCGACCACGGTCGTGCGTCAACGAGCACTGTGCCGAATTCCTCAACACGGGAAAAAGGGAGGGGTACTATCCGGGGGTTGTCATGAGGGACCTCCACACACTGCACCCACAGGCTTCTCAAGTGGGGTAGGGCTAGGCACAGGGAATCTAGCAAAGCGGCCGGCAGGCGATGACATGTGAGGCCCAACTCTTTGACGTTTACGAACGATTTTACCAACTGGAACAAGTGTGGCCCCACAGCTGGACCCCGAGTCCCAAAGAGGAGGGTGCCAAACGCCGAGAATGCTTGGCTGTTGCCGGCGAGAGGAGTCTCAAAAGCGCTGGTAGTGATCTCCACCGTTGTAAACTGACCTCCGTACGCTGCCAGATCTTGAAACTCTTGCTGCCAGTCAGCATCCTGTTGGAACATGGGGATGGCCCTGAGATATATCTTGACCTTTTCCAGGGCCGTGAGACGGCTAAGGGTCCCGTGAACGTGCTGCGACCCCGGCTGGATTGGGAATGGCGCTAACGTCTTCAAGCGCGGGCAATTCTCGGCAAGGGAGATGTACGCATCTTCAATGTCTGCATCTATCTCGTTCATAGAGGGCTTGCACACTACCACGAGATGCTCCAGGGAACTGCAGTGCTCAGCAACAACCGAAAGCAGGTCTGCTTGTGGGGGCTCTATCTCGCTGCGAAACCTGAGGTCCTGTAGCTTTGGGAACGCGCTGACAACCTTGCGCAGCTCACTTGCGTCCAAGACGTTCAGGCCACTCCCATCGAAAGACGTCACCAGCAAAAGGTGCGCCCCAAGCGTGCCCCAGCAAAAGAGGGAGGGGGTCAAAAGGTTCAACCAGTTGCGAAACGGCACACGAACGCTCTTCACGTCTCTGCACCGCTGGAGAACACGCAAAAGTTCGTTCTGGGGCAGCTGAGAAAGTCCAGGCTGCAGGCACAGCTCGTCCGCTCCGAACTTCCTTGCAATGTGCAAAAAGTGTTTGTTCACCAATGAGAGCATGCGCAGCGTCTCCGCTTTGACTGGCAGGCCCCCCACCTCCCGCCCCGTGCAATGAGCCAAGACAAATTCCCAGCAACCTTCGGGCAGCGAATCCAAAGAGCTCCCCATGGCCTCCACCTCCTCTCCGCCTTCAGCTTGGTCCCCTTCTGTTCGGTGTTCTCTTCCAGTGCCCATTGCAATTTAAAAGTGCATCCAGGCAGATGTCAAAGTGGCCAGAACGAAAAAGGGTTTTGAGTTATCCTGAAACCCTCTGTCGCAGAAACGGTCGGGGAATCAGCAACAGCGCGGGGGTTTCCTGTGGCAAAATGCTCGGTAGGAACGAGGTAGCGAGTCAAAGGTAACCTCAGTGGTAACCGGCAAACATTGAAGCAATGAAGGTACGGTACTTGAAGTTCAGCTGGCAGCATTGCAATTCTCGAGTAGGAAAGCATGGCGGCCAGAACCGTTCAGAGCGCTGCCTCTCGCCATCTGCACCTGCAATCAATAGAGGCTGTGGACAGGCCGAGAAGAGAGGGCCCCCAAGGCTGTCCTAGGCAGGCAACGGGGCAAATGGGCCATTACTTGGAGCGCTCTTCTCTCAAGTCTTGGAGCCCAGTTCGCCATCCTCAGAAGACTGCTCTCCGTCACTGTCACACACCATGTAATCTCAAGCTGGAATTGACGGGGACGAACAGCTCTCGTAAACGAAGACCTTGCACGATCCAGTGCAAAGCGTCCAATCAAGAAGGAAATAGCAGTGAGGTTGAAAAGGCGCCCGCCGCCAGTAGTGTGTTGAGCTTCCTATGCCCTCTGCTGAAGCTGGTGTCTGGAGGGGATGCAGCAGCTCCCCGAAACAGGTTTCTGGAGGTGAGTACTCGTAGAGAATTGTACTCAACATCTTACGTATAGCCCCAAACACCATCCGAGTCAGTGAACTGCAAAAAACAATCTTGCCGGCAGCCCTTATCCCCAGAAGTTCTATCAGCTTGTATGAGAGTGCCTGACCGAGACAGCTGAGGAGATGCGCGGGGGGCCATCGCCTCCTCGGTCACTGCATCAATCAACCCCAATCGCAGTCCTCATTGACAAATGCAGGGCAGCAGGATGCTTAGTCAATCAATGCAGAAATTCCCTTATCAAGTGCCAGGTGTCAACATCTGGCAACAATAGTTTGGCTGCTTTTGTGGCGTCCAGGTGGCGTCAACCGGCTTCTCCAGCTTGGCGCGGCAGCCCTGGGGCTCGCAAGTGCGCACCGATGCGGTGGCGGCCAGAAAAGCTCAACCAGCAAAGCGACTCCAGGCAAGTGAGGGGACCCCGTCGCTCCCTTTTTGTCATGAATCCGGAACCTAGATAACTGAAAGACAGTAGACATGGGATACAGGGATTGGGCAAATGAAAAGATGAGGAGTTGTAATCTGTGACATGCTGAGAAACGCACTTTTTCTGGCAGAATCAAGCTCTTGTCCAGATTCTCGCCTCATTACAGCCCTCCTGATGCTCGTTGGGGGCCAGAATCATTGATCTGAGTTGCCCGCAGTCACGTGTCTTCAGCTGTAAGGCAATAAAGCACGAAATTCGACCAGATTCGCAAGGCTCTGAAATTTCGCTTTATCGCAGGTTTATGAGTTTGAGGCATGCCCCTTTTGCCGGCGTGTGCGGGAGTCTCTGACGGAGTTGGACCTGGAGGCAGAGATCTACCCCTGTCCAAAGGACTCCGTGCGCCACAGAGCTGCGGTTGGGGCGAAAGGCGGGAAGGAGATGTGAGGCGCGACGATGTCTGCCTCTGACCGCTGATAAGTGGCGCGTCTATCGGCTTAGGCTGCTATGGTCTCCCCGCTCCCTCTTTCTTGTATCTCCTTGTCCCCGAACAGCATGCAGTACTCCTGAAGACAAACGATTAGCAGCATTTGATTTACTCCCCTGAAAACGTTCCTATGTGAGCAGGTTTCCGTATCTCGTCGATCCGAACACCGGGGAAGCAATGTACGAGAGCAGCGACATCGTCAAGTACCTCTTCAGGACCTACGGAGGGGGGGCAGACCCGACGCGAGGCCTCTTAGAAAGGTGCGGGTGTCCTCCTCGCATTCAGAGCCAAAAGGAAGATAAAAGTCCATTCAAGGCTTTTTCTGTTAATGTAAAAAGACTTTTCGTTTTGTATTCAAGCCAAAGCAAGGGGGGTCTTCTAGTTTCAAGCAAGATTGTCTAACGTCGATCTGCTTGCTTTTACTCCTCGAATGATTCAAATCGAGACGAAGGGATGTGGCGCAGAATATGGATGTCGATTGATTGTCAATTGCCGACGACTTTTCAAAGTAAGAAGGATGCTCAACGGGCTTGCAGTCGCCGCTTTTTCAGACGAACAACCACTTGGTGTTCCGAGCCCAATGCTGGCGTTTGGCTTTCATTGAACACTGAAACGATGGAGGATTAGTGGCCGCACCCGTGATCAAACAACGATTGCCGCTTTCAAGCTGGCCTTTCGATGGATTCGACATCTCAGCTTTGTGCTTGGGTCCGGGTTTCTACCGCACCACTGTCCCGACATCTCAAACTTGCGTCCTTCGATCGGCCACTTTGCACATCCCCAAACGCCCTTTGACCTCGTACGCGAGACTAGTGTCATTACACAATCCCGCCTTTTCCTCTGCAGTACGCTAGTCACGGGCTGGGTTCCCACCCTCCTGAGGGCGGGGCGGGGTATGACCCGGTACCCCAAGGCCCCCGTAGAGGCGCCCGGGAAGATGCTCGAGCTCTACTCGTATGAAAACAACCAGGTGGGTCTTTCTCCGTTCGATATGTGGGTCGGGACTCGAATACTCGTGACTGTGACTCTTTGTCGTGTTCGGGCTTTAAAATGAGAACGACACGTGTCCGCTTTCGGCGATTGGCTAGCTTTTTGGAAAAGCGCCTCACCCTCGAAACAGCCGTGACTCGGTACAACATCGGAGGCGCAGCTAGTCGAGAGTCAGGACAACCTTTCTGGTTTGTCATCAAAAGGAGGAAGTGGTCACTTCCGAAAATACGGTTCTGAAAACATCCACAAAGTGCGCAAGTTCAAGTTACCTGAACCATTTCGTGGCCCCGTGTGCAGTTTGCGCGCCTGGTCCGGGAGGCGCTCTGCGAGCTTGAGCTGCCGTACATTCTGCACAACACGGGCAAGGGCTCCGCGGGGCGGGCCGTGCTGCTGCAGCTCAAGGGGAACACACAGGTGCGTGATTATGCTCACGTCCTGCTTCTCTACGGCTGCTCCTAGGATCGAGATTTTTGGGATGGAGTTGGTTTCTGTTTATGGTGATTTTCCAACTGATCGTGTCGTTGACTCTTACGCGCTTTCCGTGAGGTGCTCGCCAATTGAGATCCTGTCCTTTATCGTCTTTCTTGAAAATCAGAGAAGCCACAGTGACACGGCTGTCTGTTTCAAAGGAGTTTGAGGTCGTCCAGCAGGCTCAACCGAGCTGAGGATCTGTTGTGGGACTAACCCGGCCTTGCCCCGGCCCAGCACCAACTCACATTCTCGCCAAATGGAAAGATCGACCATTTTGTAGATTCCGACAAAAGCTCGGAAGCAATGAGTGCACTTGGTGATCAGCGTAACATAGTGACTCACGCTTTTGACATGCGTGTCAATAAAGTCGTCAACCCTTTTCTGCTATGTGGCTCGTAGGTACCCTACCTGGTCGATCCAAACACGGCAACTTCCGTGGGCGACTCTGAGGAGATTGTAAAGTACTTGTTCAAAACATATGGGCAGGCTTCGACGCCTGCACCAGTCCAGGCGTAGGCTTTCGTAAGAATTAAATATATATTCTTTTTGTGTTGCAAAAGTGTACTGCTTGCTTGTCCTACTGTTTGCGACCCAACCCATAGCAACAAGATCAGATGTATTATGCAGACGTGTTGCATGTTGGGCGCAAAGTCCTTGTTGAGTTAACAAGCAAGCTCGGTGTGCGAGTTGGAACGGCCGAACGTGATGATTAAATTCGACTAATTTTTAGCTATTGATTGGCAAACCATTTTTCAACTTTGTTTGCATGGAGATGAGGACCCTTTACCTCACACGCGCCATGTTCTACATATGTTGCATACCGTACTATGGTAGCATGGAAGCGTGGACTCAGTCAAACTGGCTGGATCGGGCAAGTCAAGTGCATTTGTATGCGCTATATACATGTACGCACATGCATCTTTAAGAATTGGTTCTGCATGCGAATATATTGATATGCCCAATTGCAAACCAAATTCAATGATTGCTTATAAACTTTATGCATGACACTTCCCTCAGACATTATCAACTATGCACCAACCCGGCGCTTCATAAGCCACTGGCCAACATTTACTAAACGAATCAGGGTCTCGAAAGTCAAAGCAGTCTTTCGAGATGCTCCGAACATGACGGTTGCCATCACCCGACCAGTCAAACCGGATTGAATACCAGGCCGGTAAAAAGAAGCTAAACCGCCATGATCTGTGATGAGACGCTTCTTCTCCAAGTGTGCCCCACGTTTTCTTGAACAAGCATATAATCGAGAAGTCTACCCTAGCCTTCCAGAATATCCTTTCCTTTTGATCGACATGCTTCGTCAACCCGCTTGACATAGAGCTTCGTCAGCTCGTCGACCTGGCAGCAGAAACAAGAAAATTTGTGAGCAAACCTCTGGCCTGATGTCATGTGAAAGAGCAGCGCAGATGGCAAGCGAGTGGCTAGCATTCAAGAGCGGCTTCGCAACTTGACTGCTCAGATGCAAGCAATCGACGAAATACTAGTCGATAGTCGGCTAGCAGGCAGCTGCGGCAAGGATCCAGTGTAGTCAAAGCAGACGAAGTTGAAGGTAATGGCGCACCTTCTTCTCTTGTCGCTTGACCTCGTCGATAGGCATGCCCTCTTCTTTCTTGCCGATCGAGTCCAAGGCGTCCTTCCGGGCTCTTCTCACGCTCAGCTGAACATCAACAGCAAACAAGACTATGAGGCGTGTTTTTCTGCCTTCTCGAAAGTGCAAACCACCAGGTATTCCTGACCCACCGATCGAAATTCTTAAGCAGCAAGAGATTCCACTCAAGAGCGTATTGGTCTGCAAAGATGTGTGGTCTCCTATCGTTAAACTGCCAGTTGCGTGCGAGAAGTTTCGTGCTCTTTAAAAAAGTCACTTGTTAGCAGAATACGGTGCACACCACAGGACTCCGGTACGCTGCTATCCGTGATGTGGAAACGAACGCAAATTGAGAAAGATTAAAGAAAAACAGTTTCGAACAACAAAGACACGAAGACCTGTTCTCACCTTGGCAGCTTCTCCAGCCTTAGTGATAACCTTGATCATGTTTTGGCGCACCTCCTGGGTCAGAGTGGGGACCGGGACTAGCACTGCAGTTCCCTCAGGCTTGGGGTTCAGCTCCATAGGAGATGCCCGCACCCCCTTCTCGATGGCTTTGAGCAACTGAAACAGGAAGAAAAGCAGAGACAAGCGGGGTGAATGGCTTAGGAACTAGTGTGACGACTTTCACAGGGAGAGCCAGGAACACAGATTTCGAGCGGAAAGAGAACAACCATGTAGAACTTTCCCTAGGCAATGGCGAAAAGGATCCTAGTGACAAGAGATGTTACAAAGTGCTCCAGGCCGTGCGAAAGGACAGGGGCCAGATGGAAGATAGCAACACAAACTCGGGGATCCATTGACACGCAAACCTGGCACCCTTTACGGTGAATACGGCAAGTTCTGTGCCTTCGCCTTTTGCAAGTAATTTCATCAAAACAAGCACAAACGATGCTTTGCAGAATTCAGAGCTTTGGCGCCGCTAGCTTCAATCAATATGTTCACATGCAGGATATGAGAGCATTGAGCACTGCAAGAAGGATTCTATGAGGATCTAAACAGCTTTGTAAGCTGACAGTGCCGCAATTCGAACGATTAGTTACTCACGCTTTGGTCGAAAGGTGTGATGGAGAGCATCTGAGGCGACAGGACGGACACCGTTCCGACGCGATTCAGGGGCGTGCGCGATCCGTAGGATTCCACCATAACATGGTCAAGCATGTCTGCAAGACAAAGGGAGTGACTGTAAGCTGGAAAATTTAGACCCTTCGGATGCCGGACCTCTCATTCTCAGAGCAAACTGTGTCAGATGCTTTCACAGCGTGAGTACAAGTTCATCAAATACTATTTCTGTGCCCATGGGAAACCGACTGCAAACAGCTTGGCATTTGATGCCAATGAGTGCAGTACAGGCCAAAAATCATTTGAGTTCTGTATTCTAGTCACAGCGTCAGGCATAAGGAGAGTCAGTTGCCCTACCAGGTGATGCCCTTCCTGTGCGCAGCTTGCCAAATTCTCTCTGCAGCGCCACTAAGGCCGCCTCCATCTTCTCCTCCACGTCAAAGTCAGGCTCCGCTCTCGCCACATCCCTTCCACCACTCCCTCCAACCTCAATCGCCTCCCCCGTATCCTCATCCTGATTCCAGACTACTTTCGAACCCTTGCCAGATTTCGCTTTCTTGTCCCGCTTGGCTTTCGCAGCCAGACCCCTAAGCTGAACTAAGCCTAGTGGTGGTTGTTCTAGAAGCAATGGGATGCCTGTGATGTCAGCAGGTTGCAGCAATGCAACCCTTGTAAAAGCGCGTGTAGAGTACTCCTTCCGATGCAGCGGCCGAGCAGTGCCGGCTCCCCATGGAGGGGGCAGGTGAAAGTGGCCCTTGAGGATGCTGTCCGACACCCCCGCTCTAGTTGTCTCCAGTGGCACCACTCTTCTCCTTGCTGCTCGTTCCCCACTCCCTGTGACTGGCACCAAGCTCTCTGGATCCTGGCCAATGATTGCCACCACTCCTGCTTGCTGTAAATGTTCAGGCTCCACAGCTGGATCTAGAAGCACAACTCGCCCCGATCGCCTTCTCTCGCCATCTGGCGCCTCCACAGAGACAGCGGTCCCAGTCACATGGAGGACGCTCTCCATATACTGCACCTGCTTCCTCATCCGCTTGGCCCTGGCGGCCTCTCTTCTGCTGACAGGCCCGTTCACACCACCAGCATCCGCTTCAAGTGGAAACTCCGCCTGGTTTCCATTTGCCGAGCTGCTAGCGTTCACTGACCGCTCGATCCGATCCCTTCTCAGGTCGCTCTCACTGAGCCCCCCCTCAGATCCACCTTCGACATTGATCATCCTGCCTCGGGGCCCCAGCGCACGCGCGATGCTCTGCACAAACTCCTGCAGCTGCGTGCGACCCATCTTTCGCAGCGCTCGGGCTGCCATGATGTCAAAGCCGCAGCTATTCCTTCCTTTCCACTTCCACCTCGTGTTGTTCCTGTAGACGTCAACAGGTTCCTGGCTCCCAAAAACAGCGTTTTGCTGGCCAGTGCAAAGTGGAGCACTTGCATGCAGAATTATGGCAGTGGTAGAAAGGTGCAGCTCGATCAGTTCCTTTGTCAGTGTGAACCGGATCCCAGACGCCACATCTCCGATGGAGAAGTCGCCCTTATTAGAGCCGTCTCAATGCTACCGGCGGGACCCGGCACTGGCAGCCTTCAAACTCAGTACTGATAATAACTGCAAACTCAGGAGTTTAGAGGAACGGCTTTTCAGCCGTCACATTCGCCAGGGTATATAACCACGACTTATAATTAAATCTATTTTCAGATGTTCCGATTTTGTCCCGTCATCCTCCCAACTTCAAGTGCAGGAAAGTGGCGAGCTGGCGCCCCCATCCGCAAAACAAAAGTGAGCGATTCCTCCCTAGCCCCCATGTCTTCTCAGGGAAGCCTTCGCAAAGATGGCCGGACCTTCAATCAGCTGCGGGGAATGGTGTGCGATCGAGGGCTTCTCCATCGAGCAGACGGTTCTGCCAAGTGGTCGCAAGGTGAGAACGAGCTGCAGATCGGACTGCCTTGATTGCCATTTTTCTGTGAAGGACCTGGATTTGTGTCACTGCAATCCACATTCTGCTAGGGAAGTATTTTCAAAAGTGGTAAATTTAGTAAGAGACGAAAGTGTGCGAAATGTGGTGGTGGCATTGCGCATAAGGTGAGAACCCTGAGTCATCGCCAATGAAGCAGGCCATCTAACTCTAGGGTGCATCTTTTGCTGCTGATGTTGAGTTTGATATTCTTGCAAATGAGTGCAAAGTGTTAGTTGGAAGCTTTCACCATTGATCTGGCCCCCTGCGCCTCAAAAGTGGCTACTTTCTCCACGATGATAGACTTGCAAACAGATGCCCCCAGCTGAACGCTTTTCTGCAGATGGCACTTCCGTGCTAGTTGGGGTGTATGGCCCGAAGAACATGCCGCCGAAGCGGGAAGACCCTGAGAAAGCAGTACTTGAAGTTCTCTGGAAACCCAAGTCTGGGATTCAAGGTGAGTATCGGCAGCAGAATCTGGTCTCCCTCGTGCCATCACAGTTTTTCCGTTGGCAAAGGGCTCCAAGGGAATCTCTGCAACATCTGTGAGTAGTCCATCAGCCCAGTCATTTGTACTGTACCGAAGTGTCAAGCGAGTTATCGTTCTGGTCTTCTGGACGTCACACACTGCCCCTCGATGAGAGGGTGGTGAGAGAGAGGGGCGAGAGTAAGAGAGGGTGAGAGAGTAGCTTTTGCGCCTCTCTCTCACACCACTCTCTCATCGAGGCGCAAAAGCTACTCCTGAACAAAAGATCTGGCTGCAAGCTCCTCTCGAACAATCTTGAACTAGAGGCCCCAAGACTGACTGCGAAAGGACTCCATTGCTTTAGAAACAGGCTGCTTTCCAACCACTTATCTGTCAAATTCTGTTTGTGGTGGCCCCAAGAGTTTTCTTGGCAGTGCCACTTCATCTGGCCATACGGGCTTGTTTTTCCAACGACCATGTGACTTGCGCGTTTTTTCAGGACCCGAGGAACGTGAGGCAGAGATCATTTTGAGGCGCACGTTGGAGGCTGTTGTCCTGGCACCTCTCTTTCCCCGGGCGGGCATCAGTGTCGTTGTACAGGTAAAGCGTTTCTCTTGCCACGTCCGCGGGTGGACTTCATTGCGCAGACACTTTGCAGACACCGACTCTGTGTTCCAGTGAGGTCGTGCTGGTGGTCAGCGGCGTCTTTCCCAGTCCACAAGCTCGAGCAGGTTTTGTCTCTCACAGTCACAACGGCTTGGATGTCTGCTGATGGTTCAGAAGTCCCTGCAAACGACTGTGGCAAAGCTGGATGAACGGGGCCCTTTTTCCCCGGTGTAACTTCTCTCAGGAGCAGGTTGCACAATAATTTAAGCCTTTCTTGCACCAACCATGTGGCTTGCATGGGACAAGCTTTGACGTCACTTTGAGCTGGAAGACGCTCGCTCTAGTCACAAGACCTTGTTGCGCTCAATCTAACCTGCCGCTCAGAAAGCTGATCCGCTTAACAACGCTTGTCACAGGTCATTCATGACGACGGGTCCTTGCTCTCGTGCGCCATTAACGCTGCGTGTGCGGCGCTTGTCGATGCGGGCATCCCCATGACGGGCCTTTTGGCGTCGGTCACCATCGCCCTAGCGAAAAGAGACGACGGCGCTGGGGGAGGGTGAGGGATCCCTCACCCATATTCTTTGAACCTGGCTCTGAGCAAAATCCGTCGAAGTTTGCTTGTATCCAAGGAGGCTGGCAAGAGATTGGGACTGCTCGTTGGATTGTACGTTCAGATGCCTAATGTTGGGCCTGGTGTTTCCTCTCAATTCCCTGCTTGCCAGCAGACTGGCGCTGGTAATTTTGTTCACTTTGCACTCAGTTTGTCCTTGGCCCCTTGCGCTCGATTCTGCAGCGTCCCGTTTCTCACTCTTGTTAGCACTTTGAAAACGGTTTTGTGGCCAGCCTCCGATGAAACGATGCCAGTCCTTCTCAAGCCACCTCAGTGAAATGCAATTTCTTCTCCTACAGAGCGCATTTGCAGCTCGATCCTACGAGGGAGGAGCAGGATGGGGCTCAAGCAACTGTTTGTCTTGCTCTTGAAACAACGCCAAAAGCAGCGACCTCAAATGGATCCGTAGAGGGCGAAGCCGTGGTTACTTCCACCACGAGAGGGGCCATGGCGATTGAAGAGTATCTTGAGGCTCTGGATAGATGCCGAATGGCGTCTCGGACTATCAACGCTTTTGCACGCTTGAGTCTGGACAAAGCACAGCGCCGGTTGGAATTGCCTGGTACTTAATGGACACGCTGCATGACATCTGCTTCCTACTGTAACAGTTTGCACGTACTGTCCCGAACCGCTTGCAAAGCAAACTGCATAATACGACTAGCCGGAAATGCGTGTCGGTCTCGGTTTGCCTGGGGCCTTCCCGGCACAACCACAAACTTTTTTTGGGGCTCTAGGCTTGTAGCAACCATGAATGAAACTTTCAATCTGGATCACAACCGGTCTGCATGCATTGATGTGCTTTGCATTGTTTGGCAGACCGTACAAACAGTCGAGTCTTACGTCACAGCCGCACACGTGGCGCAATAGAAAAATCACCATCAATCCGTTAAGGATCAAGTACAGGCTTCGACGGCCAAAACTGCATGAGCCCGCAGGAGGCTGCATATATGGCACATCATGCAAGATTGATCGAGCTAGAACTACAGCTCCGGCCGTCATGCACATGATCATCCTGTCCGACGTACGGTACGTACTGAGCATTTTAGCTAGAGCTTGAGCTATAGAATTATAGGATAGGATATGTCGAACATGCACACGTGTCATGCGGTGCGAGGCCGGATATATGTCATGCAATTCCATTATCAATGTGCAATTCCGATGTATACTTACGATATACACAATTCAGCGTGCAGATCATTGGGACTCCGACGAAACGTCTCAGGCACTGACGGCCGGGCTTCAACATGGATCTGTGACGTTTGCTTGACTGTGCAAAGGCACGCTAAATGCATGACGGTCCCTTGACAAAAATTATAGCTACATTCGTTAAAAGCAACTTGCGCCAAGCTTAAGCCCACTAACTTGCACCCTTCACCCCATGTCAAACTACTATTGCACCTGCAATCACACGCTATGCGACTGCATCTACGTGGTGACAACCTGTTTCAACTACCGACATAATGACGACGTGTCAATTTAACGGTAAAGTATGCAGAGGACTACTTCGTACCTTGGACATTGCAACCCCATAGTACCAACTTGCCCCACCGCATGCGGCTAACAACGCGCTTGCATCTAGGTCTCCCCCTCTCATAAAACTCTCTCCCCTCGTCATCATTCCTCTTCAATAATCCTTATCCACGCTATCTGGGTTGCATTCACGGTTGCACGTTTGGGCTTTCAGCCCTTTCTCCACGTGCCTTGCGGGCAACGCCCGCCTACTTCCGCTGCAAAGCTCAGTTTGATCATGTTATACCCACAACTCGGTTTTCTAGTTGCAGGGCCATGGCGCCGACGCAGTTTCACCAAAAGGAAGCACTTTTGCAGTTAGAGCGCATTGCGCGAGCCGCCTTCTAGCTTGCCAATCGCCCAACGCTCTTCCTGGTCAGCTGACCCTCGCCCTATGCCTGCATGGCATAGAACCTTTCTACCCTTCCTACCCGGGCAAAGACGCGCCCATCTTTACTCCCATCTCACTCTCACGGTCCCATTTTCGGCAGCTCAACACCGTGCCCATTCAAACCGGAGGCCTCCACGTCGTTCTCCTTTATGCTCCCCGTGCGGCTGAGGAAGCTTCCGTTGAACAAGTGCCGCTGCGCCAACAATCTCGATGTGCTCGTTTGACTGACGCTTGAGCTGTTGTCTGGCGTGTTTAGGTAAGAGCTCCCCGAGTCGGAAGACGCCATTGACGCAACGGTGAAGATGGTCATCGGTCGGCTGGGCAGGGCGGGCACCGGGATCTGGTCCGTGAGCATGCTGATGCATTGCCGCATCGTGGGGCGCAGGCTGACTTGCGTGTGGATGCACAGCAGCGCGACCTGCAAAAAAGCCCATCCCTTAGTTTCTTGACAGCGATGACGTGACAAACATAAGCTTTCATGACGTGCGAGTCAATCGAGAGCTTTGCCACGAGGGGCGACTTGCGGGTGTAAAGTCAGCTTGTGCAAGACGCGCCGCTCACTTGCGGCAGACTCGCCGCGCAGATGACTGCAAAAGACGTCGGCGCTTATGCGGCGTGCATTTCCCCTAGGTCAAGTACGGCAGTCGCCATGCAATGATGGCGGAATGGCTGCCGTAACACGAAACCGAGGCAGAAGGGCCTTACCCTGGTCATCGTATCGATGGCCTTGCCGTGCTTCTCCAGGTCCGCATGTAGTCGCGGGTCGATGAGGTCGGGGAGCAGGCCCCTCTCCGCCAGAATCCAAGCCCACTCTGTCAGGTACACCTGGGGCGCCAAGAAGTGGATTAGTATCCCGTAACGAGGCGACCTTTGTACTGGTGCAGGACATTTGCGCACAGAGGACGCTGGAAAGCCGTATTTTGGAGCGCTCTGTAAAGTTTGAATGACGCCGACGCTTAAGCGGTCCTCTCCATAAATTGAAGGTCTCTCCAGTGGCACCTTGCTGGCCCTACATTTCTGAGTGGCCATCAGCCAATCCAAGGTATATGAGCATTGTCCAATTCAGAAGCAGGTTGCGTCCTATTTAAAGGCGGGTTGGGTTTCCTTTTGGGAAGGCACGTCAGAGTCCAATATGTTGGTGCGCACGGGCTGCTCCTCTTCGCCCACCTTCTGCAACAAAAAAGTGCTGTCAACAAAAAGCATGCCGACATTGGATAGCCGAATGACCAGCGAGTGCAAGCCCGCTCACCTTGTCATCCCCCGCATGCGGCTCAGTGGGCCGCCTCCCTGCGACCAGCGTCAGCAGCACCACCCCGAAGCTGTACACGTCGCTCTTGTCCGTCAGCTGCCCGCTCGCCGCGTACTCGGGCGCCTGCAAACGGAAACGGAGGTCAGACTCGGGGAGAGGCCGTGCTTCTTGTCCAGGGGACCACGTATTCCACTCAAAATGGAGGCAGTAACGTACGCAAAGAAGGTGGTGATATACCCAAGATCCTTCTTACGAAAGGATGCGTGTGTTTCCTTGCAGTGAAATCCAGGCATTCGCGGAACCCGTAACGCCTTCTCCAACCAACTGGGAATTTAAAGTGGTAACTGTCGTGATGACACCGCAAGAACTCCAGCAACTGCAGCGACTCCTAATTATCTTTCTCGATCAAGATAGGCTGCGGCCTGTTGGTACTCTGGCGCTGTATCGTTTCAAAGCAGCAGAAGGACGGGACATGACCGAAGGTTGAGACTCACCAAGTAGCCCCACGTACCAACGATGCCTGCAAATAAAAAGCAGGAGCGAGCGTCAGAACCATCGCAAACAAAGCGTGAGCACCGTCGAATACAGCTCGTCGATCAAAACGACTCAAGAGCTCTGAGCATTTGCCATCCAGCCAATTGCACGCTCTCAGATCGCTCAGCAGGCACACATGAGTTGGCTTTCCAAATGCCCAACAATCTGCTCATGCGGACGGCTCACTTGCGGTGACGTGCGTGTCGTCGTCCGCCGTGAGCTTGGCGAGGCCGAAGTCGGACACCTTGGCCTCGAAATCAGCGTCCAACAAAATGTTGCTCGGCTTCACGTCGCGGTGGATGATGCGCGGCTTGCAGTCCTGCAACGGAAAAACACCCGCATGAGTGGAGTGAAACTTTACCACGGGTCATTCTGATGAAAGTCAGATCAACGGACAGCGCTAGAGGTGCATAAGACGATATTCGGGTAGCAAAAGGTCTAATCAGAAGTTCCTAGACAGCTCCCGAACGTCACTAACGAGTGCATCTTTTCGGACCTTTAGCGGGAGGGAGAGGCCTTTGTCTGATCGGCCGGCCGAAGGGTACGCAACCATGAATCTGCTCGGCGTTCGCACATAAGTCAAATTTGCTTGAGTTTTTATCGGCTGTGCCATCCGCCTGCTCCTGCTCCGCTGCTGTGCCCGACCGAAAGAAGATACCTACTAGTGCGAATATCGCGCATGGACACATGGCTCGCAGCAAAGACTATGGAAAACCTCGGGGGGCAGCTACCGCACACTTTACCAACAGGTACTGTCCTAGCGTTGACACATTCAAACCAACGTTGTTTCTACAGCAACGTGCTAACCGCTGCAGTCTGGACGAAGTATAGACCTAACATCGCGCGCCAGTACCCTGCGGTCGGAAATCTCAAACTCTCCCCCCTGAAGTCACGATGCCCAGGTCTGCCGCAGCCATCTAATCAAGGCGGGGAAAACGTACACACCTCGTGCAAATACGCGAGTCCCCTGGCCGTCCCCAGCGCGATCTTGAGCCGCGCGGGCCAGTCCAGGAAGCGCGCGGCGCTGCGGCTCTCCAGCGGCGTCGCGCCTTCGCGTGGCTCATACAAGTGGTCGTCCAGGCTGCCCTGCTCCATGTACTCGTAAACGAGAATGCAGTGGCGCTCGCTCGCGCAGCAGCCCTCGAGGGACACCAGGTGCCGGTGCCGGCACTGGGCCATTGACATCACCTCGTTGCGGAACTCCTGCAGCAGGGGGGTCCAGAGAGGGTGAGATCTTTGAGAGGGAACGAGAGTTGGTGTCCTTGACGGGTGTGTCCTGACGGGTGGAAAAAGGGAGTGACGAGTCAGAAAGGGCGGAGTTTGCTGGATTGTAAGGGAGGGCGGGGAAGAAGATCGGGGCTGCAGATTTACAGAGAGCGTTTCACTTCTAACATTTTACGGGACCAACCCTACTTTCTGAAAAGCTCAGAGGTCCGAAACCCTCAATGCCTGACAAACCTGATTCCAAACAAGCCTCTTGCCGGTGTGCCGTCAATTGCCCCCCACATGACCTCCTTCGTGACCACGGCCTTCCTGTTAAGCGAACCCACCGACACTCTGCCCAACCAAAAGCCCAAGTCCCTGAAATGCTCGGTAACATACCCCCCAACATCCGCTCACCTGCGCGCCTTTCTTGGTGGCCCCCCGCGTAATCTCCTTGATAGCCACAGTCTTCCCCTTGAGGCTCCCCAGGTAAACCTTCCCTGAACCGCCCTTCCCCAGCACGCGGTTCTCCTCAAACCCTTTCGTCGCCCTGCGCAGCTCCGAGTAGCTGAACAGCACGAGCTGCGCCATCCCCAGGCTCTGGGCCATACTGAGCGACTGCGAGAACGAGGCGTGGCCCATGGAGCTGTCGGGCCCCTCGTGGAGCGTCCGCCGCTTGCGCCAGATCACAAACAAGACCCCCGCCACTACAACCAGCAAGAACACCGCTCCGAGCGCAATGCCCACAATCGCGCCAACCGTGATCCCCTTCGACTTGGTGTAGAATGCAAGCTGTAGCGGGGGGGGGAACTGGAAGAAGCAGTTGAGGCGGTCCGTGATGTCCCCCAGGTTGTCGAAGTGCGCGAGGTACTGGTTGCTCATCAGGATCTCGCACAGGTTCTCGACCGTTTTCACGGTCGTGTTTGCGAGGGTCTTGCCCACGCTGAGGTACGTGGGCTGACATTGGGTGCAGTCGCCATCAGGATTGCACGCCCCTTCCAGCGTTTCCATGTAGGACTCCGGGATGGGCTGGTTGATCGTGGTGTAGTTGTAGCACCCGACCGAGAAGAGGTACTGGAATGCGACCAGCTTGCAGTTGTCGAGGACTGTGCTTGCAATGCCGTTGGCAACGAGCAGGTCCTTCACCTTCTGGAGGCACACGTCCGCTTCATTCTGAAAACAAGATAACTCTGAGGATTAAACAGCAGCTTTACCCCATCCTGAGTGTTTGTTCCTACAAGAGGCGCGATATTTTCCTCTAGAAGTTTTGTCAATTTCAGATTTGAAGGTATGCTGTTTGTGGACAGCTAAGGCAGCCTGGTCCCAGTGTCACACTGACCGCCAATCAGTATATAGGTTAACCGGTTTTAACCCCTTAACCACTCCTGATTCGATCGCCCTCTTCTTGCTGCAACCTATGTTTTTGAGCCCCTGAGCATTTCGATCATTGTCTGCTCCCACCGCCCCATGCCTTTGCCAATTTACCAGCTTTGGGCGCAACAAGAAAGCTCTGTTGGTCACACATGACCCGCTTTTAACCTCTCACCTGTGGCACGCCCGTTCCGCTCTTGTTCATATACAGCGCATGCACCTACAAAGAAGGGGCAAACCAAACGTGAGCTTTAGAATTGAAATTCATTGGGCCTGCGCATCACTTGGGTGACGGAACTGCATAGGAACCCCGGAACAGGTGAGCCTTACAAGATTCTGCATTGTTGGGAATGTTCGACATCAGAACAACGGAAGCTTTCTAATCCAAACAACATTGACGAGACTGCTTGTGCCTCCACCAGAATGAAGCATCCGCATCGTGAGAAGGGGTCTCTATATCTCCTGAAAATGCTTTTTGGAGGGGCATGTGTTCAAAGTTACACATCAACACTTGACCAGAAAGCATGCAGATATGCGTTCAAAAGCAGGGTTCCCGGCTGCGCCTTGCTTGCAAAAAGGATCCCAAATCGCTTCTTCAGTATTTCCGGCAGCTCTCTTCTCCCCTCACCTGGCCTGCCATGCCCAGAACCAGATCACAGCACCGGTCGTTGCGATACTGCTCCGGCCCACAGCTCCGCCTTGCAGACGTGAAATTGATCGCATCCCACTCGAAGGCATCGCACACGGGCGCCGTGTCCAGCGTCTGGATCTCTACTTGGTGCAGGCATCCCGAGATGCCGTTCGCCACGACAACGGGGTAGGCAGACGCGGTCATTGCAACCTCAGCAAGGTCTGCACAGTCGGGCAAAGGTGAAATAAGAAGCGAAAACCGATGGTACGCATCCTAGTTGAGAAACTCATGGCATAACAGAGCAGGGGCTTAGTGCTTCTGACGAAACAAGCTGGCCGTCATGCAAACCTTTGGAAACCACCTCCTTTTCAAAACCATGTCCTTCACCAGCAAGCATTGCAGCTCGAGAATGCGATAGCCCAACTCACTGCGTTGATCCTACATCACAGCCCCTAGATGGGACACATAGTGCAGTCCTGTGACAAAGGACTCTTGATCAATGCTGCAAATGTTGTCGCGGAGTCACCTGCTCTGTCTGTCAAGGGGCCAGAGACACCAGCGACCGAAGTCCCTCTCTTGTGTTGCTAGCTTTGGGCTGGTGGCCAGACAGGCTGATTGAAATCGTGATTTGAAATTACACCAGAACCCGCAACAGGCGCTAACCGCACATTACTCAAAGCTTTTTGAATTGGCGCCGGCGCTGCTTTAGGTCCTGCGAAAGCGTCAAGGTGCTCACCCTGGCACTCTGGTGTGCTTAGCAGCGTCCGATTAGGCCCCAGACTGAGGATCAGGGAGGAGACCGACTGAAGGCATGCAGAGCAGTCTGACACCTTGTAGCAGGAGGCGCCTACGATACCTGGGACCAACATGGCGAGCAAAAGATGGCGTGAGGAGATAACAGGCTTGCAGATGGAGAAGGAGAATCAAAGTCCTAGATAGGGAAAAGAGACGATGGCGGCAAGGAAAAGCTCTCTGGAGTGGTGTGCAATGCAGGATACGGAATTCTGAGGGCACCCAAACAAGTTGTTCAATCCTGTTGGTGAAAGCCATTGTATGGCGGCAACAATCTAACTTAATAGAAGTTTTCTACTAGGCCCTTACTAACAGCTAACTGCATTCCACCTTTTGAGACGGTCCGTCACGAAGGCTGCAACCGACTTCCAACAGTCAAGCTTGAAACCAGGCTTCAACGTCCAGCAAAATAGCATTAGCCAAAAGCTCCGCGACCACATAGATGGGGCAAGCGAAGCAGCGGGCATGCAATGTAACCCCACCTGGATAGGTGTGATTCGCCGCCGACCAGAAGTCGTACACTGTCACAAGGTTGGGCCCGCAGGCCTCGCCGGTATCTTCTGACAGGAACGAGCTATCGATGCCGCAGGAACTGAACAAGGCGGTGTTGTTTGCCGGCAGAACATTCTTCGCGGCCTGGACGAACAGAAAGCCCCAAGACGATCATCAGGTAGGTGGTCAGGACTTACTGAGTTCGACTCTGATGGAGATCAAGGTCTACTAAGTAAGAGTCGGGCTTCGGGGAAACGCAACAATGAATGCTAAGGCGCTACTTGATTGCCTTCTGGCAGTTCTACACAGCAGGGGGGCACTACATCACGCGAGAAAGCAATCCTAGAGCTGTTTGAGAAGGTGTCAGTGGGCGACCTTAGATAGGGCTATCCTATGTAAATGATGTCGGACTGAACTGAAACAGGGCAATGCTGCGTAGAAAATCAGAACCAACTGCAACGCCGTAAGATTGTGTGATTGTTTGAGCAAGAACATCGTACAAAAAGGAATAATAGGGGCAGCCTCTTACTCACCTGTATACAGGCATCAGCCGATGATTGGGGCAGCAAAAGAGTGCCCGTCTCGTTAGCATACCTCACTCGGCTTTGAAACAGGAGTGCTCTGACAGCGTTGCAACATGTTGAGCCATAAATACTTGAATTTGAAGACAGGAAGCCTGCAGCACCAAGGACGGACTTAGCCGACAATTTAGACAGTTTCCTTCGTTCTTCGACACATAAGTCCTCTTCCTCAACTTTAGCAGCGAGAGAGTGTAGGGAGCAAACCGACACTTGACCAGTTAAGAGAGAAGCGACGGACAGTAGATCTGCGTAAGCATTGAAAGCCCCAGAAGGAGCCACACCACTAATGAGCTTTCTGCTGCCAACAAAATGTCAGGTGTTGGGCTCAACTATTGAACAGCAATCAAGGGAAACTTTTCTTGGATGACGCCACGATTACCCTCATCTCGAAATATGTGGCCAAAAAACCAAACTTAAGTCGTGCTCAATTTTGCAACCGTATAGCTCTGTGCGATACATTCTGACGACCTGAGAACCTTAAGGTCCTTAGAATTGGTCCATTAGACGTGACCGTCCCTTAAGAGCCTCCTTCACTTAGGGTTCTAACAACCAGCGTGAAAGGGGCCACGCGGTTTTCTGCACAAGGCAACCCTCCCTAAAACTTGGTGCACAGGTTTCAAAACAAAGGAAAAAAGCTGGCCTATCTTCTCCAGCGAAGCACACCAAGCATACCAATATAACGTCTTAGGTGGTATCTAAGCGGCAACAAACTTTTTAAAAAGCTGTTGCAAGAGATATTCTGCCATAGAAAGTGGGAAGGCACAACTTTGGTTACGGCAATGACAAGCAAAAGGTTGCAGCTTCTTACCATCAGCCTCGACAAGACCAAATTCAAGAAGCAGACTGAAGGAGCACTTACTCGAGGAGCAGAAACCGGCCGCATACTTGACGTTTGCATCTAAGAAAGTGAACGGACATGTGCTCGGAGCGATCGCTGGCCCTGGCCCCGGCCCTGTGACTACGTAGTCTGCCGCAACGTGTCTGAAAGTTGATGCAATGACAAAGAGGCCTAAAAGCAGGAAAGCGGCGCTTGACGCTCTTCTGCTTGATGAGCTCATCTCTACCCCCTCTAGAAGGCTGCTGCTCAGCAACGAGAAATGATCGTTGTCAAGGCCGGCACTGCTTCACTTCCCAAAAGCAGAAAGCGTAGCTGTCAGGAGAAGCTACGCCATGAAGGGAGAAGCGTCCGACACAGCGCCGAGATTCGGACCTGGCCTGCAACTGGAAGAACCACATTTCAACCCGGAAAGAGCCAGGGACTAGCGGACTAAAACCTCGGAAAGATACAGTTCTGAGCGAGCGGCATAAGTAACTCTAGGCGCCAAACTCTGCCAGAATTTTGCCATACCCTACACAAAGGGCACCTCAGCCTGCATCAAAGTTTTAGCTGAAACTTTCGAGTCAGATGGACCACCATGGTGACAGCTTGGCCCGTAGCTGGTGCCGACAAGTTTGGCCCTTTCTTTCCTTTTAGGTATCTAAAATGCGGCTCCATGACCACTCAGCTGAGTCCTGACCGATATTTGGAAAAAGCCGTCTTCCTCCTCCTTGCTGCTTGCACTCTGCACACTGCACCAGGTCAGGTACACTGCACACTGGCACAGGTAACAGGTTGCAGGCTCAGCTTGCGGCGCCTTGAGGCTTGCGCTCTGGCCTTTCAGGTAATCCCGGGCCTGTTCTTACCATGTTGAAGGTGTTCACAGTGCACATGTACAGCTCACAGCAGGTAGAAAACCGTCGTTTGGACTTGGTGTGAACAGAAACTGCAACAACCGGAATGATCGTCGAATCTGACATGCACGTTTTTGCGGCGTTAGAACTCAAAAAGAAACTCCATTTGGTCTGGCTGGGGGCTCACGTCGATGCTATTAGCATCCCCCCAGACTTGAAGCCAAAGTCCTTGCTGGGAGCTAAAATCACGGCGACCATCATGGGTTACGTCAGTATAAGTTCTGAGATTGCCACCTCGGTACCAACCGCAGCGGTTTGCAGTGGCTATTTACTCAAGTACTAAATAATTTAGTACTTTCTGGTCCAATCGGAATTGTACTCCCCGGGTCCCGCAGACGCAGTCGCCGGGCCCCTGCCAGCTCCCGCCGTTGGAAGAAACCTGGAGCCTGAGGTGGCTGGGACAGCGCACCGGTCACTACTGTAGGTGAGTCAGAACCGTGCCACGTCACTGCATCATGCTGCAAGCCAACTAACCATCTGGTGAACGGCATAAAAAGGACCAACCACATTGTGCCACGTGTCCCCTCCATTGGCAGAATGCGCTGCCGCGCCGCGCCTCGGTGGCCCCAAATCGGTCCGGTGGGGCCGGGCGGCACCCGGGGGCTGGGCCCAAACCGACCCGCTAACTTCGGGGTGGACGGTCCGGTGAGTAGCGGACGCCGTGCGGTAGGTGGCAACGTATTTCGGCCCGACTCAGCG